CTCTATTCTCATTGCAAGTGTACATTGTTCATCAGAGACAAATTCATTTTCTGATAAAATTGTCCTTTTTCCCCTCCCATAGAAATTGCCAGTCTTTATCCCAGGGTGTGTTTGTGCAATAGCCAAGTCTTCCAAGTCACATAGGTAATGACTCAGTAATGAGGACAGTATATGAATTAGACATACTTTTTAGTGACTTTTACCCTTGTCTTATTTTTTGCTCATTTTCTATCTCTTGAATCATCTCCAACTAGAGAGAAGTATGAAAATAAAAGCAGGTTGCATTTCATTTTGCTGCCATATTTTTATACTGACTTGAGGACTACAGACCTAGACTTTATTTACCTACTATAGGCCCAGTGCACTAAATTCTTGCACTGGGGTAGGTATCCCTCAGCCCAGCCTACACCCTCTCCAATTTGGGACCCCTCGGTGGATGTCTGACTGCTGGTTTAAGCCTGATCCCACAAGCAGTCGGACATCCCTCTCACAATCTGGGACTGCTGGCTCTTAACCGCTTGCCTGCCTACCTGACTGATTTCCCCTAACCACTTCTGCCTGCCAGCCTGATCACCCCCTAACCGCTCCCTCGCCGGCCTGATTAACACCTAACTGCTCCCCTGCCAGCCCGATCGCCCCCAACTGCCCTCCCCTGCCAGCCTGTTGCCCCCCAACTGCCCTCTCCTGCTGGCCTGATCTCACCCCCAACTGCCCTCCCCTGCTGGCCTGATGGCCCCCAACTGCCCTCCCCTGCCAGCCTGCCCCCCCAACTGCCCTCTCCTGCAGGGCTGGTCCCCCACAACTGCCCTCCCCTGCTGGCCTGGTTGCCCCCAACTGCCCTCCCCTGCAGGCCTGATCTCGCCCCCAACTACCCTCCTCTGCTGGCCAATTTGGTTCTGATTGGTCGGTTTCTATGCCAGTCAGCATCAAAAGCGCGGCCTCCTAGGCAGCCATTGGCTCCTCACAGTTAACCCAGATTTGGTTCTGAATGGCCAGTTTCTATGCTAGTCAGCATCTCTGGGTCTGTCAAGGAGCCTGATCAGAAAGGCGGGGTGGAGGCCTGGAAAGAAATGGAGGCATGGCTGCTGACCAGGCCTGGAGCTAAAAAAAGAGGCAAGTTCTGATCAACAACTGCCACAGAGGCTACAGATTATACCCTGCTTCTCTCTTCAGGCCTCTCTCTGGGCCTGATTCGCAGCCCCCTCAGCAGTCAGTGCTGGGTCACCGTGCCTGCAGCCATAGTAGTCAGCGCTGGGTCGCCACAGCAAGACTGACTTCCAGTTGGTCGAGCCTCCTGGTCGTGGATGTGACGGACCCAGGGTTTTTATATATCAGGATGATTCATTTGTTTGCATTACTAATATTACTTCACTGAGAACTAATTGTAAAGGGAGTCATGCCCCAAAGATGGAGTGTTATAAATTCCTTGAAATGTTTCTCTTGTGATAGAGTAGTAACTTCCATGATCATAAATTTATTGATTCCAAGTGTCTGATGGTGTATCCTCTGAAATAGTCCCACCTTTTCTATCTCTTTACCATGGCAAGTGCATCTGCAGGTCCTGTTCTGGGTGAGAGAGGAGAGTAGTGTGGGGCCAGTAAACAGTGAAGTAAGATGTAAGGAAATCCCAAATAGCAACAAAAAATCATATGGCCCTTGTACCGCCTGTTAAGGCTATTCCCCAATAGTCATTCACAAGTATAATTTACACACATAACAAGTTAAGTTCTTTTTATATGATAAAATGTTTGAGAGTATGGGCTCAGTGCATATTCCAAATAATTTTTTACCCATTCTTATCTTTGGATAAAGCTATTCAACCTATTCACCTTGTCTGTGCAAAAGGAATTGTAATAGCACCTATCTCATAGAGTTGAAATGAAGATTAAATGAGTAAATACCTGAAGCACATAGAATAGTACCCATTGCATATTAAATGGTCAGTATTTTAGCTATCATTTGTGATTACTATGTTTTATATATGAAATCAACTTATTACTAGGGAGCATGCTTGGGCATTTTGTTAAGACTCTGAAAATGAAAGCCAGCACCATGTCTTCCATCTGTCAAAGTATTTATTGTCCTGTATCAATTTGTATACCTTACTTGGCTATACTAGATTGTGTTATTTTAAGTAGAGTCAGATAAGGTCACTGTCATATCCAGTGGACATAAATTAGAGTGACCTCATTTGTCTTTTTACCTAAATTTGAAATCAGCATGACTGTTTTATCAGTATGTAATGAAATATATAGATGAGACTCCCAATAGGAGCTAGAGAGCAATGATGAGAGAAGAACTGTACATGTGTTTAAAATGGCTTTTTTTCTCTATTTAAAAAATGTTCTCTATGGGGTTATTGGGACTTGTATGCATGCATATAAGCATAACCAATGGACACAGATACCAGGGAGGTGAAGGCATGAGTGGGGGGGGGGGGTTAAAGGGGGGTAAGGACACATATGTAATACCTTAATCAATAAAGAAAAAAAACCTAAAGTCTTACCTGTTTCTGCTACACTGGCTGTTGCTGGAATGTATTAACTTACTCAGTGTGCAATACTTTCAGAGCACTATTATTATTTTACTAAAGCTTATAATTTAAATTTACAAGTGTAATTTATAATGAGTTCAAATGACCTGTTTTAAATGCTATAGACAAATCTTTGAATAGTTTCTCATGTTTTAACCAAAAAAAAGTCTTTATGTTTTATAAATTTATGAAACTGGCTATTTTATCAGATTATATTTTTATCTGTTGATTTGTGTGCTCACAGTGTACCAGAAACTTGTTAAGTATTGAGGGTACAGATGGGAATAAAACATAATTTCATGGGAGTATTAAGACATGAGGAATTCAGCAATAACTATGTTGAGAGTTATGATTCAGGTATGCACAGAGTATGCATTAGGAAAATACAGAGAACAACGCATAACAGTCCTATGAATAGTGACCAGAGAGGGCAAGGGGTACAGAAAAAATAATTTGGGGATAAGGTAAGTGATGTTTGAGCTGAGAGTTTATGAATGATAAGGAAATAGGAAGAGAGTAGAAGAAAAATGTAAAAGCCTTCCAGGCAGAGGAAACCATGTGCGACAAACAAAAGCAAGAGAAAATGGCTCTTTGGGGGACCAGTAAAAAGGCCAGGATGGTGTGAGTGGAAAAAGCATTTGAGGGCATGGCTAGTACCAGGACAGAGATTAGGTAGGCACCAGCCCTACTGGTTTTGTAAGTTCAGTCAAGGGTTCTGAATTCCCCCTGAGGGCAAGAGAGAATCCTGGAAAGGTCTTTAAGAAAAGTTTTGTTTTTGTATTTGCATTTTAGAAAAACTCCCCTGGTACACAGTTGAAAATAGATTGGAAAAGAGCCTGATTTAGAGGCAGAAAAACCAATTAGAAGGCAATTATAATGCAAAATGTTATGAGTTAATACATTAAGTACAAGACTGGAAAGAAGAGTTGGAGAACTATTTAGAAGGTAAAATTGGTAGGACTTAGTGACTACTGTCAGTCTGAGGAAAGAGGCAATAGTTCTAAAGCTGAGAGTGGCTATGCTGCTCTCTGTGGAGAGAGGGAACACAGGAAAGGAGAGAGAGAAGGAATTTCCTTTTTAATTTTTATATATGGGACCTCCCATATTGCATAGGGTTTCCTAATAAAGATAACCAGGTGGCTATTTGAAACTCAGATTTAAAAATCTTAAGTATAACTAGAAAGTAAAGAGAGTGGAGAAATCAACTTATGCAAGATTGTTTACTGTGAACATCTACATAGTCCTATGGTATATGGTAAAGGTATATGGTCTGAATAAGAACTAAACATAGAGACCTCAGAAGATGTCATTGTTTAAAGTGCCATAAAAATGGAGCTTTGACATGTTCTTGAAAGGTAGTGATAGAGAAAGTAAATAGTGGAAAATAAGTGTCATAGAAACTAAGGAACAAGAGAGATTAAGAGAGACCCAGTGTATACATAAAAAATGTCTGAAAATCTACACATTAAATCGTCAGTAGTGGCTAGCTCTGAGATGTGGGTTGAAGAGAATGACAAGCAGAATTTTAACTTTATATTTGAATTTTTAGTAAAAGTACTTTATATTTCTCTGTACTATTTTTACAACCTCTTGTGAGCATATACTTATCTTAAAATAAAAAGTGAAAAAGTCATGTTAAAATGTCATAACCAACTGGAAATGAAAAATAAATCAATGAAATAAGCTTAATCAGAACCGAAAGAGCAGGGAAAGGGCAACACGGAGTAGTCAACAATGCTATATAGCAGACTGGTCAACAAAGATAAGGACTGACAGAACCCTTATATCTTGGTATTTAGATTTGGTCTCAAGTGACCTTATTAAAAGCAGTTTCAACAAAAGGCCAAAGCAGAAGCTTTACTGCAGTTGTTAGGAAGTGGAAAGTGACAGGGTGAAGAGCTAGCATAGTAATTCATCAAGGAGAATCTTGAGTATAGAGGAAGAGAGAGATGTAGATAGGGACTTAGGGTACAATGTGAGTGAACTGCTCAAGATCCTTATGGTGGCAAGAAAGATAACCATGCAAGCTTCCTTAGTCATGGAGGGTTATTGCAAGTCACCTAGGAATGTGAAGTAGCATAGGGAGTTGACTTACCAGCCTCAACTCACGCCAGATCCCAACTTTTCTAAAACTGGGATTTGCAGGAAGTTTTATAAGAAATTGAAGAAGTCACTCAGCAAGACTTTTTGCGGGGAAGAGACCTGAACCTATTTATATGCTGGAGGTAGACACAAGTAGAGGGCAAGAGTTCTACAGTACAGAGAACATGTTGAGGTACTTAAAGACATGTACCATACCTTTAAGTTGGAAAGTAAACACAACTACTTCTGGAAATGAAGTTTTATACAAAATACAAAACTTGTCATGTTCCAAAGGATATATTTTAAACATATATACTCACTAGAAAAAGTGAAATAAGGTGATATAAATAAGCTAGTAAATTTCTTTTTTCTTCTTCTTCTAAAGCCGAACAACAACTTATCCTTACACAGAAACGCAAATGTACAGCCAAAACACTGGAGGGAATTACTTTGATACTCAAGGGAGTTCTGCACAGGTGACTACCGTGGTCTCATCCCACAGTATGGTGGGCACTGGTGGGATTCAGATGGGCGTCACGGGAGGACAGCTCATCAGCAGCTCCGGGGGAACCTATCTGATCGGCAATTCAATGGAGAATTCTGGTCACTCCGTGACGCATACCACTCGGGCCTCCCCAGCGACAGTAAGTATTTGAGTTTTTATTTGTTTAATTTAGCCTCTTGGTAGCCACTATTGACATTTTCCAATATAGGGAGAAAAAAAACGACACAGATTGGGCTGGGGCAAGAAAGTGTTAGGTTTTTAGTATTGTGGTATGAATCCAGAATGTAGTATGTGTGCTATTATGCAGAATGTTCCTGATATGCACCCGACAATTATATGAATTTGGAAGTTTTCATTAATAGTAGGAGAAAAGAGAGGGGATTCTCACGCATTAATACTAACTTTAATAGGTTTTCTTCAATGATATTCAGTAAAATCTTTTAAATTTCTCCCCAAAGAACTTACTTTTATATTATGTTGATTTACACTGGCTTTTTATGAGATAAAAACCAAGAAGTAATATACAGAGTAAAATATCATTTAGTTTGGAAATTTCACATCTTTCACCAGTAATATTTATACTAGCTCATTGTCAGAGAAGTTACTTTATGAAGGGCAACATTTCCCACACCTTAGACATTTAAATTTGGCCATATTCTCATGCCACCTATACTGTTTACTTAATATATTTTTTAGTTGATTCACTTTTAAAAGAGAAAATGATATGTATTTTTTTCTAAGTTATATTAAAATCCATTCTTTAAAAGTAAATTAAAAATGTTTACCCATGTGCCATTTTTTATTCTACCAAAGAGACAGTGGTGTAGATAATTAGGGGAGCAATGATCTAGGTCAGTGGTCGGCAAACTTGTGGCTCGGCAAACCGCGGCTTGCGAGCCACATGAGGCTCTTTGGCCCCTTGAGTGTGGTGGTATTTTGTGGAAGACCCACACTCAAAGGGCCAAAGAGCCACATGTGGCTCACGAGCCGCGGTTTGCCGACCACGGATCTAGGTAGTTCCAATGAAAAATATTTGTGTTGGCTCTGATCATTGCTATAAGCATCAAATCATCAAACTCTGTCACCTGAGCTTTCTATTTTCACCTCAACTAAGCTTATAAAAGACTGTAGTCATTTAGAACTGCCTAGCTAAAGTAGCAGTGGGATTGATTTTTCTAGATGTCCTATGTAAAAGGAGCCTGGGATTTGAAATAAGCACAAGCACCCCTTTTTTATCTTACCATATACTTTGTTTTTATAATGAAATAGAGGTAGAAACAAATTTGTTAGAAAATAATAATATGAGAAACTTTACATTTTTCATTTTATGGATTTTCAAGATGTAACATGTACTTGGTAAGTACTTTATACATACTTTTCTGTTTGTAACGACTACGTGTTTACACTTTCATCATTTAGTGCCTTTTCCCTAATCCATTCTTTGAAGTTCTTTACTTCTAGCTCACCTTTTCTTACTAACATCAGAACAGTAGCTATTCTCAGTGGAGAGTTCTTTTTTGTAACCTTTTCTTTGTGTTTTTGCATTATTTCTTATGTATATTTGTCTCTTGTTTTCTTAACAATAGGTACTAACAATAGGTATGGCATGTCTAAACCTTTTAGTCCCAATATATTTATGTAGATTATAAACTAAATGATACCCTTTTTGCATCTCAGTTCACCTATCGATAAAATAAGTGGTTACATAGATTAAGCAATTTCCTCCCAGCTTTACAAACATAATGTTCACAAAGGAATTGTAAAATGTCCTAGATGTAAAAATAACTATCTTTCCCATAACATAAAAATAGATTCCAGTACTTTATAGTGCTCCTGAGAAGGGTCACCCAAAAAGTCATTTGCAGTGGGAAGGGAAGTACTTGCCACTATCAAGGCCTTAGGAAAACTGAAAAATGAAGAGAAAGAGTATTTTCCCATTTTTGTTTCATCCACCCTCTCATGATAGCATACCATGCCTCCAGCCTCATCCTTCCCCTACTTTATTTTCTCCAGGCGTTTCTGTTTACCTTCACACTGATTTCTGGCTCCCTGTTAAACATCCTTATCAACTGGAAATGTGTTAACTAGATTTATTAGTGCTGTTACTAAGTTAACTGAATTGATTATTCCAGGTCATGTGAATACAGGTGCAAACATTAACAGGGTAAATTTTATTATTTGACTTTTTTTCTATATACAGTATGAAAAAGTGGCATTTCTCCTTCAGTTATCCATTACATAAATTTGATGCATGATTTCTATTTATTAATTGGTAAATTAAACTAATATTAAAAATAAATTAACGGAATTATAACAACTGGGAATAGTGGGAAACTACTGAAAGTACTCCACCACTTCGTAGTATCAATTGTACATATTAATTTACACGTTTTAAAATGCGTTCATATTTAAGATTTTGTTAAAGATGGTTTTTTGTTTTTCATTTTTATAAGAAAATTTCCCTTTTAGCAAGAGAAGTGTAAAAGTTAAATAAAAAGATAACTTTTGCCGGGAACGATGATAGGTGCCCTCATCAGAGCACATATGATAGTGCCATGTGATAGATTTATATTATCTAAATATGCATCTGCTAGTGTTACTTGTATTTCTTACCAAATTTATTTCCCTTTTAGTTCCCCTCTCAATGGTGCTAGAGATCTTCATCTGCTTCTTTCAGAGACCTGGTGGTTCTCTTTGCATTTTCACATCTGTTACTATAGTGAAGTTAACAAAGTTTGGGTGCCATGAAACCTATTTAAGATTTCCTACCATCCTCCTTTTGCCAAATGTTAGAATATTTGTAGCTTTTTGGTTGTTTAGATTGTTAAAACTCAGAGATTTTTTGATAAGTGCCCATGTCATCAAAGGAAATTTACTTATTTTTATGTATCAGTTTCATTCACTGTAGAACCATTCAAAGAAGTTATATGAGCACAATCTTTTTTATCCTTTAAAAAAATTTTTATTGAATTTATCGGGGTGACATTCGATTGTATTGAATTTATTAGGGTGAAATTATGTAGGTTTCAGGGGTACAATTCTATAATATATAATCTGTATATTGTATGATGTGTTCACCACTCAGTCAAACCTCCTTCAGTCACCATTTATCCCCCCTTGACTCTCTTCTGCCTCCCCCTGCCCCTGTTTTCCTCTGGTAATCACCACAGTTGTCTGTGTCTATGAGCACAATCTTTAACAACTTGTTAGTCAACACTCAAGCCATTTCTTTTCAAATGTTGAGCCAGATTGTGCCATATAAATTCAGTTCTTCTAGCTGTTTAATAGTCAACCTATCAAGCATGCCTGATGCAACGGACTGTGTAGGAGAAGCCTATTCTGTAGACACAATTCCTGACTGAAATTGGGCTGTTTCTTAAGAACCTCTAATAAGTGAAATGTATAGTTAATTAACTTAGTTGAGGTAAAACTAGTTAAATATGGGTACTTGGAAATATCACAAACCTATCACCTTTATTCAGTTTCCTGCTCTGGTTCTCCGAATAATTACTTAGACTCTCTCTTACATTTGACCTCTGTTTGTACTGAAATACTTTGATTTGAATTTATTAGGAATAATTTCCTGCCACAAAGAAAACTTTACTTTAGTGTACAAACCACTTTCTCAAGATACGGCAATGAAAAAAGATAATGATTTGCAATTGAAGCCACTGCTAAGAAAAATAAATGATTAGCATTCGAATATTTCCTTGCCTAATCTAATATTCAATATAAAACCATCTTTCTCATACTAGAAGGATCTCTGAATCATTTATGGACAACTTTTATTTGAGCGTGTGATTTACTTTAGTTTTATAACTTTAAATGAAAATATATATTTTATATAAATGTTTTAGAATTTTATTTTTGCTTGTGCATTGTAAAAGTTGTCCATGTTAAAGGTACCTAAAAATGTCAGAATTTTTCAGAAGATTATGATGGTAACAAATTAAATTTTATTTGATGAATATGTTATGGTACAAAGTACCAATTTTTAAATTACCATGTGTGTACAAATTACATATATATATGTTTTACATATATAAATATATACACACATTTAAAAGGCATTTCTGCTGGTAGTATTATATAAGAATTTTCAAAAACATTATGTTACTTTTTTGTTAGAACATCTCTGGATATAAGTTCTGCTGAGTTACTACTAGAATAAATGTTTTACATTCATTAAATTAATTCTAGGGATCTAATTATTGTTAATATTTTAGTAACACATGACATTAAGGTAAAAGAGTTGTGTGTGCCTATAGTTATAATTTTGAACTTATTATACTTTGATCTTTCTTCTAACTACATTACCAAGTTTCTTGTGTGTTTTCCTTCATTTGAAATTCTAATTTATTTTTCTTTATTATTTTTCTGTGATATCACTTACAGAATTTTAGAATTTTGAAACCTGAAAACAATATGCATTTGAATATCAAAATTTTGTGATTGTAGTAGGTGATATTTTGTGCTTATCAAAACACAGTTTATCTTACACCACACTATTCAGTAATTGACAATTTGCTTTAAGGAACTTCATTTACTCACTACTCCATAAAATAACATTTGTATTCTTATAATTAGATGCTTATTATGGAGGGTTTTTTTCTTCTTCTTTGTTAAATAAGGTTACACTAATCACTGTTGAGACTGTGATATGAAAGCTAAGTTTTACATCTTCCTGTATATTCATTTAGTAATTATATGTGTTAAGTGGCTTTTGCTAAAATTGGATTCCACCAAGGGGCACAAGGAAAATATGTTGAAACTAAAATTGTTTGTATCTCTCCCTCTTTTGATTAATATAAAATATTGTCATTTCTTTCAATTACTTGGGTGAAAATTTGAATGACCATCCATTACTATATAAGTAAAAGTTTGGCCTACCTTTCTCAATTTATAGAAAGTTAAGAATTCATTTAAAAATTATAGATACTTTTATTTTTTTATCCTTGGGTTTATGTGTTTATGGACTTAGTGTAGGGAATTTTTTTTTCTAAGTTGAATATGTATAGCGCCTCAGAAAATGACTTTGCCTTCTTATTCCTTTGCAGGTCCCTATGGCCACTTGCTTTGTTTTAGATTTTTAATTAATTTATTTATGTGAATTATACATTTTAAATTGCACAATTCAAA